GGTATATAAAATTGCAGTTCATTTCTGGATATTAATTTTTTATCTCACTAATTTACAGAATACATTTATCAGTTCTAGTAGTTTTTAGGTGGAATCTTTAGGATTATCTATATACAGGACATCAGCAAATAATGAGTTTTACTTTTTCCTTTCTGGTATGGATGCCTTTTATTTCTTTTTGTTTGATTGCTGTGGCTAGGACTTCCAGTACTATGTCAAATAAGAAGGGCAAAAGCAGACATCTGTATCTTGTTCCAGATCTTAAGAGGAACACTTGTAGTTTTTTGCCTCTTGAGTCTGATGTTGGCAGTGTGTTTGTCATATATGTCCTATATTATGTTGTGGTATGCTCCCTCTATTCCCATTTTGCTATGAGTTTCTATCATAAATGTTTGCTGGATTTTATTAAATGCTTTTTCTGTACCTATTGATATGATTATGTGTTTTAATCCTTCATTTTGTTTATGTGGTGTCTCACGTTTATTGATTTGCAGATATTGTACCAACTTTGCATCCCTGGAAAAAATCCCACTTGATCATGTCGTATGATCTTTTTGATGTATTGCTGTTTTCAGTTTGCTGATATTTTGGGGGGGATTTTAACATCAGTGTTCATCAAGGATATTGGCCTATAATTTTCTTTCCTTGTAGTGTCTATGTCTGGTTTTGGAATTAGGGTAATGCTGGCCCCATAATTTGAGCTTGGGAGTGTTCCTTCCTCTTGAATTTTTTAAATATTTTGAGAAGAAGAGATATTAAATCTCTGAGTGTTTGATAAAATTCACCTGTGAAGCTATCCAGTCCAGGGCATTTTTTTGTTAGTTTTTTTTATTATAGCTTCAATTTCACTAGTTTTAATTTGTCTATTCAGATTCTTTGATTCTTCCTGATTTAGTTTTGGAAGATTGTGTGTTTCTAGGAGTTTATCCATTTTGTCCAAATTGTCCAATTTGTTGACAAATAGTTCATATTTTCTTACAACCCTTTATATTTCTTTGGTGTCAGTTATTACTTCTTCTCTTTCATTTATGTTTCTATTTATTTGCTCCTCTCTTTTCTTGATGAGTCTAGTTAAAGGTTTGTCAGTCTTGTTTATCTTTTTAGAGAACCAATTGTTGGAATTAGTGGTCTTCTGTATTTTTTTAAACTCTAGTTTGTTTATTCCTTCTCTGATCTTTATTATTTTTTTCCTTCTGCACTCCCAAGTGCACTCCCAAGCTTCTGTGCACTTTTGGCTATGTTGTTCTTTTTTGAGTTTTCTTTAAATGTAAAGTTATATTGTGTATTTGAGCTTTTTCTTGTTTCTTGAGATAGGACTGTAATGATATGAATTTCCCTTTTTGGACTGTTTTCCCTTTGTTCCACAGATTTTGGTGGTTGTGTACTCATTTTCATTTGTTTCAGGAATGTTCTGATTTCCTATTTGACCTCATTGTTAACCCATTCATTGTTCAGTAATGTGTTATTTAGCTTTCATATCTTTGTGCATTTTTGGTTTTCTTCTTGTGTTTGATTTCTAGCTTAATAGCATATGGTCAGAGAAGATGCCTGATATGATATGCTTTCTTAAATTTATTGAGACTTGTTTTGTGTCCTCACTAGTGGTCTATTTTAGAAAATTTTCCATGTACATTTGACAAGAATGTATATTCTGCTGAAATGCTCAGAAGATAATCAATTAAATCCATTTGATCTATTTATAGTGTGTCATTTAAAGTTGTCATCTCCTTATTGATTTTCTCTTCATTGATTTCAATGGGGTGTTAAAATCTCCTATTATGACTGTATTTTTGCCAGTCTCCCCTTTTATGTCCATGAAGATTTGCTTTATAAATTTATGTGTTCTATGTTTGGTGCATAAATGTTTACTAGAGTTAATATCCTCTTGTTGGATTGTTCCCTTTATCATTTTGTAGTATCCTAAAGGGATTATCTTTGATCAATCGTAAATTCAGTGAAAAACTTTCCTGGGCATTCCAAAGTAATCAAAGTATTGGCAATAGTTTAATAGAGGGCCTTCATCTGAAATACAGTTTACATTCATTTACTTAATGTTTATTGAGTACTTACAGTATAATAGGCATTATGACAGGCTTAGTGACATAATAGTGAGCAAAACTATCATGGGACCTGCCTTCACAGAGCTTATATTTTAATGTGAGAAGATGTACATTTATCATATAATCTCACATGTGTATGTATATAATAGCTCTGACATGTACATCAAAGGAATATATTCTATCAGATGTCTTCTGGATGTGTCTATACAGTTGTAGAAAGAGGACTATAATGGACCTGTTCTTTTATGGCTTTAATATTTCATAAAGAACTTTCTATATTGAGTTTTCTATGCATTACTTTTAATAATAGCATAGTAGCCCATTATATTTACTTAAATTGTTTCCAGTTTTTCTCCTATAATAAATAATGCTGAGAAAATTTGTGGGGGGAGGGGGTGCATATTATTTGGGTAGGCTAAGTGGCTGAAACAAATAGACCCAAAACATATTCATTCAAACACAGAAGTGTCTGTTTTTCACAAAACTTCCAGTTTGTCAAAAACTGCAGTCTAGTCAAGGCTGATACTGGTTCTGTCCTTTTCAGCCAGTGGCTCTGCATTCTTTGTTGTTGCCATTATCACCTGCAGGAAAGGGACCTGTTTTATGAGCCAGGTCTGTTTGCTTCTAGTTTATTCCCTGTGCCTGTAACTATACCCAAGTGGTTTCCTAATACAGTTCTAACCTGTTATTGAGTTGGCCAAAAAATCCATTTAGTTTTTTCTGTAAAATAAAAGACACATTTTTCATTTTTACCAGTAACTTGGTTGATTTGGATATTTTGAGTATGCCAGCTATCACCCACTATAGGCTTCTAGTGGGTAGGGGCCAGGGTTGCTGCTAAACATCTTCCAATGCATAAGGCTGTCCCACAGCTAAGAATCATTTGGCCAAAATGTCAATAGTACCAAGAAACTTCACAAACCACTTTTGACATGTTCAATCAGTCATAGCACCTTCTTCATACACTGCATGAATCTTTTTTTTTTGTTTCAGTTGCTTTTTTACCTTTTTTTGAAATAATAAAGCATAATACACTGAAAATGTTGGGTATCTTCTTTCATCTTCAGTATTAAAATGGATGCACAAAAATTCACCAGTTTTGATTTCTTTTAAATGCATGCTGATGTGACAGCTGTCACAATACAATCTAACAAAATTGAAGTTAAAGACAACTAATACAATCCAATCAAATGAAGTTAAAGACAACTAAGTACTACTAGAGCCATTGTATGGAAAAAAATAAACAAACTTTTTGACCAACTCAATGTGGGTCCAGCAGAAGTAAGACCTGTTTGAGTGTGGTTTGGTAGGGTAATAATATGGGTGTAATAATTTATAGTTTTAATTTGGACAGTTCACCTAAAATGTTTTATGGTATGCTTGAGTGTGATATTATTATGTTACAGAATTCCATGCTTATGATTTTATAATAAAAGATTTTATTACGTAATAAAAGGGGGTATTATTTATGCTGGAACTTGCATTTATTTTTTTCCCCTGTCTTCGGGCTTCTCTTAACTCATTAGGGCTACTATGAAGTCATTGAACTGATGGACAGCAACTGTAATACGATTTTCACATAGGTTTCTTTTAGGTTCACTGGGAAAACCTTGAAATATAATTTACAAACCAACCAGCTGTTTTTGTATGTCTGAAAGCTAAGAATAGTTTTCACCTTTTTTAACCACTGAGGGGAAAAGCATTCATGACATAAAAACTAAATGAAACCGAAATTTTTTGTTGTCCATGAATAAGGTTTATTTGCATATAGGAACACTTGTTCATTTATGTATCATTCATGGCTATAGTTGTGCTACCATAGGAGAGATAAATAGTAAAAACAGAATGTATAGTTTACAAAGTCTAAAATATTTATTATCTGGCCTGTTACAGAAAAGTTTTCCAGACCCATCATTTAAAACATTGTTCAAACTTACCTCTTGCTATTAAGGGTATTGGCCTTTCCAGTCTTACAAGGCCCTATCTCTTCACTTTGTATGTTTCCTTTCATAATTGCCTACCAAACAGCTAATTGCTTGTGTTATTTTTTCTTATAAAACCTTGCTGGGAATAGCAGTACACACGGTTACTTGGCTTTTTCCATAGATTTTATTTCCACAGAGTATCCAGCTCCAGTAGGCATGTGTTTTGCCTTCTTCATTGTCACGTGCTTGATTTTACTAAGTCTTATGCCACCGCAGGACAATAGCTTCTAGCTTTCAAGCCTGCAACCTCTGTTCCCTTTCCGCATCACTGTTTATTAAGCACCACACATTTTAGATTTCAAACAACACCTTTATTTTAGATGACACTTATGTTATTAGTGAAGATAGTCTGCTGCTTTAGCAAGCCATAATTCTAAATCTAATAGGACTCTACATATCTTAAAATTAATAATCCAGTATAGCTGTTCTGGGTTTGGCAGTGGTGGGAACGAGAGTTTTGGGGTGCATTCTGCCCTTTGTAATTATTTAGGATCCGGCAAGGCAAGTTCTACCATCTAGCTTTTGGCTTCCATTGTTACTCTAGATTGGCCATTGACATTCTAGCTCATGAGAAAAGGAAAAGAGCTAGCAAAGGACTCAAAGTCTGATGTATGGACCAAATCTGGAAGTAGTTTACAGCATGTCTATTTATATTCCATTGGAAAGAATAGGTCTCATAGCTACACTAACTGCAGTATAGGCTGGGAAAATGGTGTAGCTGTGTTTGCCACTGGGGAAGGGGAGAAGAGATTTTGATGGATAGCAAGCATTCTGCCACCAGGCTTCCAGAGCTGCATGTATTTTTCTGTTTCCTAAATAAGTAGGCTAAATTGTGATGGGTTTACTTTTGAGATAGATTTATTTATAAGAAAAATACCTATGCAAGTGTAATTTTTAAATGCAACTATTTAAACAAGTTTAAACAAGTTTGAATAACATATATGTGTCTTTTCAGGCTATCGCACATTATGAACAATCAGCTGATTATTACAAAGGAGAAGAATCCAATAGGCAAGTATGGGTTTTTGTCAAGTGTGATAAGAGACAGATCTTCCTAGCCAGGATGGAGGCGTAGGTAGACACACTGTGCCTCCTTACACAACCAAAAGGACAACAACAAATTTAAAAACAAAAAACAACCAGAACTGACAGAAAACTGAACTGGATGGAAGTCCGACAACCAAAGAGTTAAAGAAGCAACATTCATCCAGACCAGTAGGTGGGGCAGAGACGGGCAGCCAGGTAGAAAGGACTTGTGGCAAGGGGGCAGCTGGCAGACAAGGCAGTGGCTGGCAGGCCTGGCGAGGCAGCAGGTAACAGACTGGGCAGTCCCACATTTGCATGCAGATAAACCGGGAGGAACAACTGGGAAGTGAGACAGACTGCACAACCTAGAGTTCCACTATGGGAAAGTAAAACCTCAAATCTCTGATTGAAAACACCTGTGGGGCCTGAGGTGGCAGGAGAAACTCCCAGCCTCACAGGAGAGTTCATTGGAGAGACCACCAGGGGTCCTAGAACATACACAAACCCCCCCACCCAGGAAATAGACAAAGGAAATCAACTTCCAAGAAGTCTGGGAAACTCAGAGAGTCCCAAAGAAGTTGGACACACCAAGGCACATCATAATTACACTACCCAAGAGTAAAGAGAAGGAAAGAATCTTAAAAGCAGCAAAAGAAAAGGAGACAGTTACCTACAAAGGAGTTCTCATAAGACTATCAGCTGATTACTCAAAAGAAACCTTGCAGGCAAGACGGGGCTGGAAAGTATTCAAAGTCATGAAAGGCAAGGACCTACATCTAAGATTGTTCTGTGCAGTAAAGCTACCATTTAGAATGGAAGGGCAGATAAAATGCTTCCTAGATAAGGTCCAGTTACAGGAGTTCATCATCACAAGCCCTTATTACACGAAATGTTAAAGGGTGTTATCTAAGAAAAAGAAGATAAAAAACAAGTACAGTAAAATGACAAGCTCACAGTTTTTAACAACTGGACCTAAAACAAAAACTATGCAAACAACTAGAACAGGAACAGAATCACAGAAATGGAGATCACATGGAGTATTATCAACGGGGGAGTGGGTGGGGATAAGAGGGGGAAAAGGTATAGAGAATAAGTAGCATAAATGGTAGGTAGAAGATAGACAGGGGTAGGTTAAGAATAGTATAGGAAATACATAAGTTAAAGAACTTACATGTAGGACCTATGGACATGAACTAATGGAGGGGAGTGCAGGTGGGAGGGGGTGCACAGGGTGGAAGGGAATAAAGGGAGGGGGAAAAACAAATCTTCACTATACTCTGTGAATGCATTATACTGTACCAGATGAAGATGCACTGGGATATCTTTTTATTTCTCTATCAATTTGTTACTTATTCTACTCTGGTTCTTGATTTCAGTTCAGCTAACAAGTGTCTACTGAAGGTGGCAGCATATGCTGCTCAGCTTGAGCAATACCAGAAAGCCATTGAAATCTATGAGCAGGTGAGATTACTGCTGTCTCTTCAACTTCTGGAAGAATTTACTCTGGATCTTTTTTTAAATTAAACTTTTAATTAACTTCTTTTTTTATTGAGATATAATTCATACATTATATAATTCATCCTTTTAATGAGTACCATGTCTGTGGTGTTTAATATATTCACAAAGGTATAATCATTACTGTTACCTAATTCCAAAACATTATCATCCTAAAACATTATCATCCTAAATACCTCTAAGTATTTATCAACCTGATTGTCTCCTCCTTCCAGTTCGTGGAAACCACCGTCTGTTGTCTTTTTAAATGTATTTGCTGATTCTAGGCAAACATATATGGAATCATATATTGTATGGCCTTTTGTGGCTGGCCTCTTTCACTTAGCTTTTTTCCTAAGGTTCACCTATGTTGTAACATATATTGATACTTCATTCATTTTCATAGCTGAGTAATATTCCAGTTTATCCATTTATTATTTGGTGGAAATTTGGGTTGTTTGCACTTTGGTGCTATTATGAATCCTTGCTGCTATGAACACTTGTGTCCAAGTTTTTGTTGGGGATATGTTTGCAGTTCTCTTAGCTATTTACCTGGGATTGGGATATTGCTGGATCATATGATAAGTTCATTTTTAACTTTTTGAGGAACTGCCACATTGTTTTCCACAGTTGCCATACCATTTTACTATCCTACCAGCAATGTACAGGAGTTCCAGTTTCTCCACAGTCTCACTAATACTTCTTGTTTTATGTTTGTTTGTTTGTTTGATAATAACCACCCTAATGAGTGTGAAGCACTATCTCATGTTTTTGATATTCATTTCCCTAATGATTAGTGATGTTGAGTATCTTTTCATGTGCTTATTTGACATTCATACACAAATTTCTTTTTTTGGTATTGAGTTTTAGAAGTTCTTTATATATTCTGGATATTAATCCCTTATCAGATAAGTGATTTGCAAATGTCTCCCATTCTGTGAGTTGCCCTTTTACTCTGTTATTAGTATCTTTTGATGCACAAAGTTTTAAATTTGTATTGAGTCCAATTTTTCTATTTTTTCTTTTCTTGCCTGTGATTTTCATGTCATATCTAAGATATTACCAAGCCCAAGGTTATTAAGCTTCTCCTCTATGTTTTGTTCTATGAGTTTTATGGTTTTAGCTCTTAGGTTTAGAATTTTGATCCATATTGATTTAATGTTTTACATATGATGTTAGTTGAGGATACAACTGCATTCTTTTTTGCCTGTAGACTTTCAGTGCTCCCACCACTGTTGAATACACTTTCTTTTTGCCATGAATGGTCTTTGTACCCTGTTGAAAATTATTTGACCAATATGCAAAAGTTTATTTCTGGGCTCTCTGTTCTAATCTGTTGATCTATATGTCCATCTTCATGCCATTTTCACACTGTTTGATTACTGTAGCTTTGTAGTAAATTTTGAAATCAGGACATGTGAGTCTTCTAATTTCTTTTTAAAGATTGCTTTGGCTATTAGGGGTTTTTGTATTTCCATATGAATTTTAGGATCAGTTGTCAATATCTGCTAAGAAACCAGCTGTGATTTAACGGGGATTGCATTGAATCTATAGACCAATTTGGAAAGTATTGTCATCTTAACATTAAGTCTTACAATCTGTGAACATAAGATGACTTTCCACTTACTATATCTTTAATTTTGTTCAATATTTTATAGTTTTCAGTGTGCAAGTCTTACACTTCTTTGGTTGAATATACCTCTAAGTATTTTATTCTTTTGATGCTATTATAAATGGAGTTTATTTCCTTTTCAGATTGTTAATTGCTAGGTTCACAAACCAAAACATTGCAGGACTTGTTTATTAACTCTAGTGTTTGCTTTGTGGATTCATTAGGATTTTTTAATATACAAATAATGCCATCTTCCAATAGCAATAGTTTTACTACGTTTTCTCCATCTGAATGCCCTTTACTTCATTTTTTTGTCACTTGTCCTGGCTATAACTTCCAGTATAATGTTAAATAGAAGTAGCAAGGGCAGACATCCTTTTCTTGTTCCCATCTTAGGAGGAAAGCTTTTAGTCTTTCACCATTAAGTATGATGTTAGCTGTGGGTTTTTTAATAGATGCCTTTTATTAGTTTGAGGAAGTTCCCTTTTCTTCCTAGTTTAAGTATTTTTATCATCAAAAGGTATTGCATTTTGTCAAGTGCTTTTTCTGTATCTGTTGAGAAGATTATAAACTTTTTGTCTTTTAATTCTATTAAGATGCTATATTGCATTGATTTTCATATGTTGAACCAACTTTACATTTCTGGGACAAATCATAACTGGTCATTGCAAAGTTTAGGGGTCTCCAAGAACACTTCCAGGTTTGATAATTCCCTAGGACTCATAGAACTCAATGAAAGCTGTTATAGTTATGGTTTATTATAAAAAGTATATAGATGGAAATCAGCCAAAGTAAGATGTGTCATAGGGCAGGATCCAGGAGGGTTCCAAGTGTGGAACTTCCTATTTTCCTCCCCAGTAGAGTTGTACAAATAGTACTTACTTTGTTTAACAATATGTGAAAATATAGCACTTACTTCGTTTAACAATATGTGGAAATATGTGAAAGAGTGTTGTCAACAAGGGAAGCTCACCTGAATGTAATGTCTAAAGTTTTTGTTGGGGCTCAGTCATGTAGATGTGGTTGACTATCCATGTGGCTAACTATATTCTTCAGTCCCTCCAGTTCCTCCACAGGGTGGTTGAACCACACTGCCTAAGGCGCCCAAATAAAGAAAAACACTCTTACCAGGCAGGATATTACAAGGGCTTAAGAGATTACCTACCAGCAGTCATGGGCAAAGGCCAGACTTCACTGTAGGCAAAATTCTTAACTTTATAGTTATGTAATTCTTTTCATAAGTTGCTGGAATTAGCTTGCTAGTATTTTGTTGAGGATTTTGCATCCATATTCATAAAGGGACATTGATCTTTAATTTTGTTTTCTTGTGATGTGTTTGGTTTTGGTAGTAAGGTAAATACCTCATGGAATGAGTTAGGAAGTATTCCCATTTCTTCTATTTTTTTTTGAAGAGTTTATGAAAGATTAGTGTTCATTCTTTAAACACTTGATGGAATTCAGTTATTTTCTCTATTTTTTTCCAGTTCATTGGTTGTCACAGTTACCTTTATTATTTCTGTCTTCCCAGGTTTTTGGATTTACTTTGATTTTTTTGGTAGCAAGTTAAAGTGGGAACTTGGCTTACTGATTTTCTTCTTTGTGTGCATGCAATTTTAGTTCTGTCAGTTTCCCTCTTAGCAATTTTGGCTATGTCTCACTGTTAAATTGTTCTATTTTTTAAAATTCATTTCATTGGATTTATTGATTTTCATGGGTTAATTTTTTTCATGGGTTTTGTTTAATTTACAAGTGTTTAGAGATTTTCCTTTTATCTTTCTGTTGCTGACTTCTAGTTTGACCCATTGTTTCTGGAGAACACACTCTATTTTTTGCAGTTGGTTTTATAGCCCAGACTATGGACCTTTCTTGGAATATGTCTGTAGTTCTGCTCTCCTGGGTGACATGTTCTGTGAATGTTGATTATATTATCTTTGTTGATGTTGTTGAGTTCTATATACTTGTCAGTTTTCTTCCTAGATCTATGCATTGTTGAGCTTGGAATTTGGAAGTCTCCAACTATAATTATGGTTGTGTCTATCTCTCCTTTCATTTCTATCAGTCCTTGCTTCACATATTTTGTGACTCTGTTGCTTCCTACATACATATTTAGAATTGCTATGTCTTCTTGGTGAGTTGACCCTTTTATCATTATACAGGGTGGGGCAAAGTGGGTTTATAATTATTCATATGGAAAATAACACAATTAATAAATAACAATATAAGGATAAATTCTGTTTTGTGTACTCACAACTCTAAACCTACTTTTGCCCACCCTGTATAATGTTATTCTCTGGTAGTTTGCTTTGCTCTGAAATCTACTTTTTTATTAATAATATGGCTTCTCCTGCTTTCTTTTGATTGTTTTATATATCTTTTGAGCACTCTTTTCTCATCTTGCCTATATCATTATAATTGAAATGACTGTCTTATAGACAGCATGTTGTTAGGTCATGCTTTTTAATTCACTTTGCCAATTGGTATATTTAGACCACATTTATTGTAATTATTGCTCTATTAGGGCTTACATCTTCTTTTTTTTAATATTCTTTTTAGATTTTATTTATTTATTTTTAGAGAGGGAAGGGAGGGAGAAAGAGAGAGAGAGAGACATCAATGTGCAGTTGCTGGGGGCCATGGCCTGCAACCCACGCATGTGCCCTGACTGGGAATCTAACCTGTGATGCTTTGGTTCGCAGCCCGCGCTCAATCCACTGAGCTATGCCAGCCAGGGCATACATTTTCCATTTTATATGTTGTATTGTATTGTATTTATGTTAATTTTCATTTCTCTGTTTTCTGTTTTCATGCTGTCCAGTGAGTGACTTATCTGTAGTGTTTTTTAATATATCTTTGAATGGCTTTTTTAGTGGTTGCCTTAGCTGTTATATTTACATAATTTATCATAGACTAATGGCATCTTCATTTTGTCAGTTCCAGTGAAATACAGAAATCTTACCTTACTTTTCACTTTCTGTCTCTTTATTCTCTCGGTTCAGTATATAAGTATCTTATTTTCTTTACATACATTTAGAACCACATTAGTGTTACAATTTTTGCTTCAATCATCAAACATAATTTAGAAAATGTAAGAGAAGGAAAGTTCATTGTATTCACCCACATTTTGTTAGCTATGTTCTTCCTGATGATTTGAGATTCCTTCTTTTATTGTTTCCTGTCTGTTTCAAGAAAGTCCTTTTGCCATTCTTTTAGGATAGGTATATCGACAACATATTCTTTTTGTTTTCCTTCATCTGGGAATGTTTTGATTTCCTTTTCATTCCTGAAGCACATTTTCCCTGGGTATACAATTCTGGGTTGATGGTTTGTTTGTTTGTTTTAGTCCTTGAAAAAGGGCCATTTATGGCCTTTGTGGTTTCTGATGAGAAAGTTGGCTGACATTCATATTGCTTTTCTCCTGAAAGGGGATGTTTTTCTCTGCTTTCAATTTTTTTCATTTTCTTCAGTTTTCAGAAGTTTATGTGCCTTGGCATGGATAGATTTCCTCTTATTCTGTTTGGGTTTCACTAAACTTTTTGAATCTGCAGGCTTTTGTTTCTTACCAAATTTGGAAGTTTTTAGTCATCATTTCTTCAAGTACTGTTTTAGCTGTTCTCTTTTTCTCTTCCCCTTCCAAGACTTAGAGGACCCCGGTGTTAGTTGCATAAGTCCCTTATGCTCTATTTATTTTTTTTTTCAGTTTGTCTTCTCTCTGTTGTTCAGACTCAGTAATTTCTAATGTTCTGTGTTCTGTCATCAGTTTGATTCTTTCCTCTGTTCCATTCATCTACTGATCTTGAGCCCATCCACTTTTTATGTGGGTTTTGTACTTTTTGGTTCTAAAATTTCCATTTGGTTCTTCTTCATGTCTTCTGGGATTTTTTTTTTTTTTGCAGTGGATTTCTTTTACTTTGTTGATTTTTTTTTAAATTTTGAAGTGGTTTTGTATTGCTATTTTGAAGCATTTTTCTGAAGGTTCCTTCAAAACCATTGTTAGGTAATTCTAACATTTCTGTCAATCTCAGAGCTGTCATCTGTGGGCTGCCTTTTTTATTTAGCTTAAGATCTTTCTTTTTTTTGGTATGGTAAGTTTCAATAGAATACTGGACATTTTCACATTATTTTATGAGACTGGATATTACTTAAACCTTCTCTGTCAGTGGGTTTTCTGTAACACTGCTCTGGCTGGGAAAGAGTGTGTCATCTCATTACTGCCAGGTAAAGGTTAGAAGTTCAGGCTCCCCACTGGCCTTCATTAATATCTAGGGGTGGCCCTAGTTTTGTTCCAGCTCCTGCTTACCCTCCACCATCTCTATGCTGGGGTTTTCCTTGCTACTGCCAAGTGGTGGTGAAATCTTAAACCTCTACTATGCTTCTTTTGAAACCAGCTGGGAGGTGAGAACATCTGTTTCCTGCTGGATGGAGGTAGAACCAGGTTCCTCATGTGAGCTCCACTACCTCAGCAACAGGGGTGGAAGGTGGGCTCATTATTAGCTGGCAGGGATGGAGGATTAGCTCCCCTTTTGGCTTTCTCTGAAGCCACCTTGGCAGGAATGTTAAGCTCCTCTTCGCAGACTTGATAAGATGGACATCTTGGTTTCCCTCTTGGCCTTTGATAATGTGAGTGGGGGTAGAGCTACAGTTTTCTTGTGGTGTTTGGCTGTAGTAGAACAGTATTAACATTTCCTGTCTTGCTAAGCTGCCTCTTTGTTAGTCCTTTTGGTTAGAGACAGCAGACTCTTTGTCTATTCCCTTTCTTTCTTTCTTTTTTTTTTTTCTGCATCCAATGGCTTTTATAGGTGGCTGGATTTCTCTATAAAAAGTCAAGGGTACATGAAAGAAAAAGAAAACCCAGGGATCTCACTGTCATGTTTTCCCTTGTGTCTCAGGGTGTCCCTATCAGTCAGCTCTTTTCTCTTCACCTTTTAGTCTTAGATTTGTTTTATATAAAATAACTGAGCTTTCAGTTGTACTTAGGAAAGATAGAGCAAAGTATGTCTGTTCCATCTTCCTGCAAGTGGAAGTCTTCTGAGTCATTTTTAACAAGTTAACACTTAAATAATTTTTCTTCTAATAAAATTTTCTAGTTTGTGATACTGTATTAAAAGAATTTATTTCATAATTAAACTAACTTATATAAGATACAGAAGTATTTTCTTAAGGCAGTGGATGAGAATCAGTATGCCTAATGTAAGAAACCAAACTGTTTAAAACACAATTATATATCTACAGCACATAGATATGGTCAGCAGTATCCCTATAGCCAGAGAGAAAGGAGGGTGGGTGAAAGTGGGCAAAGTGGGGATAAGTGGGGATAGAAGGAGATTTGACTTTGGGTGGTTAGCTCATGATGCAGTATGCAGATGATGTTTTATTGAGTTGTATACTTGAAACCTGTATGGTTTTATTAATCAGTGTCACCTCAGTAAATTAAATTTTTCTTTTTAACTTGCAATGAAATACCACTGCACACTGGTCAGGATGACCATCATTAACAAATCAACAGACAAATGCTGGTGAGGATATGGGGGAAAGGGAACCTTGGTGCACTGTTGGTGGGAATGCACGCTGTTGTGGCTGCTGTGGAAAACAGTATTTCCTCAAAAACCAAAAATGGAATTGCCTTTTAACTTGGCAATTCCACTGCTGGGATTATACCCTCAAAATCCTGAAACACTGATTCAAAAGAACTTATGTACCCCAATGTTCATAGCGGTACAATTATAATAGCCAAGTGCTGGAAGCAGCCTACGTGCCCATCAGTAAAGGAATGGATCAAAAAACTGTGGTACATTTACACAATGGAATACTATGCAGCAGAGAGAAAGAAGAAACTCAGTAAATTAAATTTAAAAAGAAAAAAGGAAAAAGCAGCAGCCAAAAATTTTAAATTTGACTCTGCTTTCTGTGCCTAGGTTGGAGCAAACACCATGGATAATCCTCTGTTGAAGTACAGTGCAAAGGATTACTTCTTTAAAGCAGCCCTCTGTCACTTCATAGTCGATGAGTTGAATGCCAAGGTAAGGAGTCAGTCCTTCAGTACTAGTTTACTGATACACATTACCCATGAGAGAAGGTCTTACTCCGGTACTCTGTTGTTCTTGATATCAGTTCATTTGGGTGATATTCATTAGTTGCAAGACTAAACTGAGTACCTTAAAAATAATAATAATAATACGGTATATGCCTCAGCTGTAATCTTGTAACAGCTGCCTAAGCTGTTCTCTTAAAGTTCCCTGGTAGCCACATTTCCTTCAGTAGTTTTGCCTTAAAGAAATTAGTGAGCCTAGAGGGAGACAATAAAAGTGGAATAGTTTCCTTTTTTAAAAAAACTTAGAAATGTAATTGGAATGAGAATTGTGAGAAGGTGAAAAGCCAAGTGAAAGCTGAGAGACAAGAGGCAGAGAGTTGGGTAACCTTGTTGTTTTTAGTTGGAGGTGGAACAGCAGGATTAAAACCACTATGAGGAAAAGTATTCTTCCCTCTACCCTCCAACAATGGTCTAAGTGATTTCTGGGGGGCTGCAGAACACTGTTAAAGGAGGAATTTCATTTAATGAATGCCAACAGACACTGGTCTATGAGTTTTCAGTAAATTATCTAATTCTTAACTGAAATTGAAAATCAGAATAAATAGGACATTCTTATGTTAATTTTAATGTTGAATTTAACACCCTACTTCTTATACACTTACATAGAATATAGATGAGTCTTAACTGAAGTTAATAGAATGTTCAAAGCTTTGTTTTCTGGTTTAGTGAGTCAAATATTAACAAATGGTTTTTCTCTCTCAGCTTGCTCTTGAGAAATATGAGGAAATGTTTCCAGCATTTACTGATTCAAGAGAATGTAAATTATTGAAAGTAAGTAATGTTAGAACTTTGTAAAAAAAAAAGCCTTTGCTGTCGGTTGGAACTGTGTATAAAGTGAAGTTCTAATTCTATGAAATCTGCTGAAGAGTCTTTCCTGCTTTTGTGTAATAGATTTAAAATGCCACTAGAAGTCAGGGACATAGCATTGTGTTCTGAAGCAGGCAATTCAGAAATGTTAACACAATTACCAGATTCATGACTTGGGGTAATTCTGTATTTGTACTTGAATATTTCTCCAATTTTGTAAAGTATTTGGCAGTATCAGTAAATGTGATACTAAGGCTGTTTCTCTATTTAAAATATCTTTATTCAGAGATGGAACTTTTTAGCATACTGAACTAAATTTTTCATATTTATGTTATTAGAAACTTCTAGAAGCTCATGAAGAACAGAACAGTGAATCTTACACTGAAGCAGTAAGTTATGTCTTTTTGATATAATACATTCTTTGAAGGTTTAAGTTATAGAAACTTCTTTCTCTTTTCATTGTGTAAATGCCGAACATTTATTTTAACATTATTCCAGTATACTGAAATTGGGTTCTCCAAAGGTCATGTTTTATATATTCCACAAACCTATATAATTATACAGCTTCATTAGCCATGATAAATTTAGCTGTGAGACAAATTCAAGAAAAAATATATGTGTTACAATTTGTTGTTTTAAGAATGTATTCTTTTGAAAATAGTCTGCTTCATAAATAAGTGTAAAGTAAAATCAGTTAAATGCAATTTAAAATATAATGACAATATATTCCTGGCATAAAATAAATGGAAATTTTTTCTTTATATTCATCAATCTTCCATTTTCCTATCTTTTGCTATCTTATGCTTAGAATCAAAAGTTTCTCTGTATCTGCCATTAATATATTCATCATAGTTTTGAAGCAATAGCAGAAAGAAATGTTCTCCCATTTAACTTTTACTATGAAACTATTTTCATCCTATTGAAATGTTATTCTTTTAGTAGTGTGTTGAAATGAGTTAAAGGAGTTCTGCTTTCATACATGCAATGAATACTGGGACACTGTTAATTTCCCATGTTCCCATCTAAGTCTTATACATGGTCTAATTTCCTGTGTCACATTAAATGTGCTCTTTTTCCAATTATAAAGGCTGTTAGGAATTTTTGCTATCACAAGTTAGCACACAGCAATATAAAAGGCACAGAAACTTAACTCCATCAAAATAGGCAGAGGATAATGAAAAAATAAGCAAATTTTAATGAAAGTTTGGAACTGGAATAATTTTAAATGAAAAAGTTGGTAGATTATCGCTATATATATTTAAACAGCTGTTTTGTTTTGATTGTATCTCAATGGACTAACTCCTATTCCTTTAACCTTAAACTAGGTGAAAGAATTTGACTCAATATCTCGCTTGGATCAGTGGCTTACTACCATGTTGCTTCGTATCAAAAAGTCCATCCAAGGGGATGGAGAAGGAGACGGAGACTTAAAGTGAAACAATTATAAGTCTTTGTGGCATGCAGCTAACCTCTCTTTAGTTTCCTCTTAGGGCCGAGTGATCTTTATGAGATGTCTATTTAATGACTTAATTTTGTTGCACATGAGCTTAATGACGTGTGTGCAGTTTTCAAGTTTGCTGTGTTTGTGTCAATGTTAAACGGATGGGTAAAAAGCTTCTGTGCATACTGTGGATATAATGGGTTATTTCATGCTTGCCAAAGTCCTTAGAGTTTTCTGAGAACCACTTCAGAATTTTCTTAATATTTGAAAACATGGGTTTTGTTTGCAAAACCCATGTTTAATTTTGCCACATATTTTCTGTTCTTTTTCTTGAACTTGAGTACCCAACCCAACTGTTCTAATTAATGCTTTGAATATTCTCTGTAAATTTGCATCTGAATATATTCTGTAAGTGTATGTGTTAGTTAGGGTGGTTGTTAGGAATAAGTTTATGACTTCATTCGAAATTTGTTGTTATCTTGTGATTCTTTTGATGTTGCTAATGACTAGTTTCTTTGCTTTTGATATTGTTCCCTATGCCAACATGCATGTGAAAATTCAGAACAGCCAGGGTCTGCCTGAATCACACTGTGAGAAAAGGGGACTTCCTGGTGTCCCTTGCTTATGTGTGAATGAATGTCAAGGTGGGTTCAACTGCTTTGTATTTATATACACAGGCACACACACACAACTATATAACATCTGTGAGAAATAGAACTTTTTCTTTTCCTAGACAGTTTCCACTTTTAGTTGGGGTAAAAATCCCTGTTTATATTCACATAAAGGTGTTTTAACTGGCACATGTCTGCTCTTTCATGTTCATATTCTTTCCCATTGAGATGGTATCCTTCCTGTATCCACAGTCATGTACATCCTCATTGAGAAAGTATTTCAGTAATTTTAGTCATTTATTGAACGTGATGAGTTAGGTAGGGTAAACATGGTACAGAGGCTTATTATATGCCTCCAACTAGCTTCTGAGGGGACTTGACTTTCCTCTTGGCTGATGGAATTGTTTTAGCTTTTGTGTTTGAACTTTGAACTCTGTCATTTTCTTTTGTTTTACATTACTAACATGTGCTCTATTGATTTATGAACTTGATCCCATTATGTTACATGTTGACATATTTTAGACATGGCCTTGTTTCTTGAACCTCCTCTATGCGTATTTTTAGGCTTAAATTATTTATGTTCCATGTGCATTTGTTGCCAGAGATAGCCTGTTTCTTTCTAAATTGTGCTGCTTTCATTAATGACAGGTGGTGAAATTCCCCATCTTATGTTAGATAGTAACAGGTATTTAAATGTTTTCATTTTTTTAAATATTCTATTTATTTAGTTTTAGAGAGGGGAAGAGAGGTGAGAAACATTGATGTAAGAGAGAAACATCAATAGGTTGCCTCACAGATGCGCCCCATCGAGGGACTGAACCTCCTACCCAGACATGTGCCCTAACCGGGGTCCTTTCACTTTGAGGGATGATGCCCAACCAACTGAACCACACCAGTCAGGGCTGATGTTTTCATTTTTGGATGATCCTCAACTGGGATTAAGGGCTAGAAGTAGAATGGGTGTGCCCAGTCCAAGGGCACAGTGAGAAGGAAGGTTTGGGAATGGTGAATAGGTTAGTCTGAGATAAAGGAGAAAGCAGTAAAGAAAGTTGAGCCCTGGCTGGTGTGGCCCAGTGGACTGAGTGCCAGCCTGTGAACCGAAAGTTTGCTCTTCGATTCCCAGTTAGGGCACATGTCTGGGTTTCAGGCCAGGTCTCTGGTTGGGGGTGTGCGAGAGGCAACCAATCAGTGTTATCTACTTGCACATTGATGGTTCTCTCCCTCTTTTTCCCTTCCTTCCCTTTTCTCTGAAAATAAATGAAATCTTTAAAAAAGAAATAATTAAAAAAAATAAACAGAAGGTTGGAAGGGCCAGCTGAGGCCATATTGTGGAGGCTCTTTCTCAGATGGCTGGGAGGATTCCCTGGCTGTAGTTGTAGGGTGATGTGTGCAAGGTGGACTGGTGGAGAGGAAGGTTAGTGGTTTCATAGTATCAGCTGAGAGCAGAGGGACTGGACCAGAAGACATGGACACTCTGGTGTTGGGCCCTGGAATCTGTTGAGTATTTCTTTTTCCCTTCAGAAGTCAGGGATTCTTAAAGCTGGTTATCACTGATAGTACAATTTGGAATGGAGTTCATTTGCTACTTTCTTATTTCCTGTTGGAATCTCTTATGAAAATATTGAGAGAAAAGTGAATTTTTGTTGCTTTACCTAATCTGTTTCACAGCCATGCAAATGTACTTTGTAAAAAGTTTTTCCAAATGCACTTCTGTGAAAGTGAGGCATGGGCAGTGCTTTTGTAGCCCATGTCCTCCGGCCATAAGTCTCTGCCACCTGGAGAGCATTAAAATCCTAGCCAGCCAGCATGCTTCTTTTATCACTAGCCTAAAAAGTGTGTTTCCACTTGTTAGAAGAATCTCCTGGTCCGACCACTTAAAATATAAACCAGATGCTTTCTTTTATGGGAAATCCATTTAGCTTTTATTATGATCCCCTAATAAACCTGTATGAAAAAGAGGTGCAGTTTATAAAAATAACATTGGCAACATTTTATGTCAGAGACTTGCCTGTTTTGAAATGAACAGTGGAATTCAGTGTCTGAGTTAAAGATTTTTTTTTTAATATTTCACAGGAAAGTAAAAATAAGTGTAACGACTAGAACAGACAGGCTAGAAAGTAAAAGGAAAATGAGAGGGAAAAAGCTCCATTAATAGTAGCCAAACATCCTTCCTTGAAGTGTTCCATTGTCGAATGTAGGATCATGAACAAAATATGATGACTGTTTGTTACAGTTCTTGTATTTTAGCAAATCTGGGTGTGGTTCATGGTCAAAGTCAGTTAAAATTTCTTACAGGAAAGCTTTGCTTTTTGTAGCAACATTTTTATAGCTTGTGTGAGTTCCTTTTTTATGTAATGATTTGAAAACAGTATTTTTGCACAGCTGTGACTGTTATGATGGTGTGACTATAATGAAAGAGTGTGCATTTGTTTCCTTTGACACTTTGCATTTAAAGTATCCAAATGAAAACCTTTGTGGCTTTCTTTGGAGGGTTGGGCAGCACAGCATTGCTGTCTGTGACCTGCCACCTATGGTATGCTAGCAGGTTCCTGCCTGTGAAGTTCTGAGTTGGTCACTGTGGTGTTTTCTTCTCTCATACTCTTAGGTAGAGGATTGTATTATGAAAACTAACCATAAACCTACCTTAGCATAAAAGAGTATGTATGTTTTATGTGAACCTGTAAATAAAATGGAAATTATGAGTAATATTTTGACAGGTCTTTTCTACCTAAATTTATACAGATCATGAGTAGCTTCCTTTCTTGAAGTTATTCCTATTCAGTTTAAGGCAATAATTCTCTAGGCTTTTTGAATATCCTTTAAAACTTGAGTTTGACTATGCTAAAATCTTTCACTTTTTGGAAATTCAGGGAACTGTAATGATTTTGCACACTAAGGGTTTATGAAAGAAGCCCTGGTTATAGTCTGTTGATAGGCTGCTAAATTTGCACAATGACTTTGTAAGCCTCACATTCTCATCCCTACCTGTTGCCCTGATAAGGAATGCTGCTTGCATCCTTTGGGCTTGAAAAGTTGAGGGAGGACTGGTTCACAGAAAACTGCTAGGTGGGAGAGGAGAGGAGGGGGGGGGAACCCTGAAGTTACTCAACTCTTTTGGCATTTATTGAACTTGCAGATGTCTGTATAGGGTTAGCACATGCCCCTGGGCAAGGTTGAGCCCACTGGCCTCTATGGAGGAAGAGGGTGCCATGTGGTGTAGTAGTATGGGTCACCTCATCCTAAGAGCAATGTTCAGGTCATTGAGCATATTCCTATAACTTAAAGATAATACAGCAAATTTTGAAAAAAAGAATGGTAGAACAGACCATCCCAACCTAGGAATTCTGAGAAGTTGTTGATCATTCAAGGTTTAGTTTATCTCAGAATCATTATTTCCTAACAGAAAGAAGCCACTATGGTGGTTAAAAAAAACTAGTTTTGCCAGCCTTGGTATGAGTCCTGTACAGATTGACAAAGGTAAGTGGGTGGGTTCTGGGGCTTAACTGGGTAACATGCTAGGTAGCCCCTGACCTGTGTTTGTACCTTGCTCAGTCATATATGCCCACATTTAGGTATATGTGAGCAAATGGTCCTTTGCACAAGTGCCCTCCCCCACTGAAATAAAATATTGTTACTTCAAGTTTCACACTGTCAAGTTTAATTAAAGGGATGACCACTCATTGGTCTCAAAAAAATGTCCCTGTGTGATAAGGTATAAATTTAACAAGTTACAACTAAGTTGTAACTTACCATCAAATTGTTGGTTTGGATTATCTGATTTTATAGCAAAACCACATTTGTTAAAATTACCTTCAATAAAGGTCTTCTCCCACCACATGGTCCATTTTTTCCCAAAGTGTAAAACAAAAATTTTGGTAAAACTAAAATCAGCAGAGATCTTTGGAGTTTAGGCTGAGACTAGTTCCCACATTATGGTTGAAAGGCACTAAATCACTCCCTTAACTGCCTTTTCTGAGGCTCTAGGAGAAGCAGCCAGCACCAAGGGCACTTTCCCAGTCATGGATTTAGGACTGACATAGTGATACGATAGCTTGCTTTCCCTCAGGGAGACTGTACTTGGACTAAGAGAAATAGGAGGAGATGCCCCACAAATCCCTCAATGATGAGTCTTCCATAAGGTTAACAGACTTCTATTCTCAGAGGCAGCTTTACCTTCCCAGGAAGCAAAGAAATAGATAAACTGGAGAAATAAGTCTTCGATATGATGCAATCTTAAACACGCCATTGAAAAAAACCAGTCCACTTACACACTCCACAGCACCAGCTGCACAGGTTACTTCTATACAAGCAAAGGTTAGTGTTACTTATCACTAGGCCTTTTACTTCTAAAGAATAAGTGTGCAGTTCACATAGTTAAAACTAAAGAGATTATTCCTAGGACTACAGTCTTGATTTTAAACTTCCTTATCCATAAAATTAAGAAAATTATACTTGTTTCAATCTATAGAGCCTAAATTCTAATAACAGGGAAAAAACTTGCAAAACTATTTTACAAACATTTATTAACACATTAAATGACTTTTTATAGAATTTCTAAAGAAAATTTTACGACAAAAATGCATCTAGTAGGTAACAAAATATCTATTATTTAAATTCCTTCTCATTAAGATGACTTTACTCCATGAAACAGTACATTAGTTAGGCAGGTTCATTCTTACCAAGAATAAAATGGCTATGTAACTGTCACTGTTTGTTGTTGTTCTGTAACCTAGTTAGGATATATTGTCATAATTGAATTTGAACTAGTTCAGTACCACTGTTCTTTAAGAGCAGGTGTGAAACATGTTATCAGCACCTAAAACACACCTTATAGTGGCTTTAGTATGTAACATGTTATAAACTAGAACAAAATAAACACATAGGAAAAAAGTTTTCCCTCATTAATGTTTCTGGAATGGTATAGCCATATCTTCATCCTGGAACTTATGGATAAGTTCTTTCTCTTAGAAATGAAAGTGTTTTCACAGTAAATTAATAAATTAAAATGTAGAAAAACTGTCAACAGAATTCCCTTTTAAGGCTGTCTTTAAATAAATATGTTTAGGGTTACTTATGAGTCACAACTACATACAAAAGCCACTGGAACCATGAATCAAGCTTAGTAAATACAGCAGAATTATCCTTTCATTGCAAATTCATTAACTCCAGCATAACACAGCCAAAGGGGCATTTACGACAAATTATTGGTTCTCCGCAATCTACTTTTAAGGCATAATCAATGATGTGTGCCAAGGTTTTTGGTCCCTTGGCTGTATTCTCTCATGTTCCTAAGTAAACAAATGTGTAAGTTTGGGTTTCTGAAAGTTACAGAAGTTAAGTCAGAAAAGACAGAAATACTAATTACTCTGCTCTAAGGTTTGCCATAATCACCTCATTGCTACTGGTCAGTAAAATAAAAACAGTTTCAAGTGTTGTAAACCCTGTGGCTTAATTTTTCACACCTTTTTGCAAAACAAAACAAAACAAAAACTATAGATTGCTACTAAAATCTTTGGTAGGACAGATTTTACCTTATTAGGTTTTTAGGAATGAAACTGAACAGCCACATCTCATTTCAAAAGCTATTTTATGACAAATTTCCTAGCTGTGTATGTGTTGTGATTAGGGGTTATACTAAGCTGTTTGCAAGTGTCATTCCTTTTTTAGTGTGGGTGTAAGGGAGTGGAAGGAAATGAATTCAGTAATTCATTTCTTCAGTCCCATTCAAGGGTCCCTTTAGCAAATCTGATTTGCTTCAATTCGACAGGAAAGAAACAATACATGGCTCGAGTTTTATTTCAGCTTTTTAGAAAAATATCTTGTGTACTCTATTATTAAGGTAGTTGTCTAAACTTAACAAACATCAAGGTACTCAGGCATTAGAATGATTAATGCATGTAGCAGCCTACACCAGAATTAGGTGAGGTTATATTAATTGCCTTATGTGTTGATAAAGTGTAGCTGGGATCATGCAGATAAGGATTTTTAAGGGAAAGCTTTAAAAATGTTTTGATAAAAACGTGCAAGTTATCAATTTAGGAAAATCAGAAGCCATTCTTGCCCACTTCTTTGCCTGTTTCTTAGCTCCTGACATCATCTTGCATACACTATCACACAAGGTGCACGATGGGACCTGCCTGGCAGGTAATTGCCAGCTCTTACTCCATATTGGTCAAAGAGTGAAGTTGTGTGGGTATCAGATGTGTCTGTGGAGTCAGCTCACTAAGCTCACTGATGGTGGTGGCCAGCAGAGCATCCTGGGGCACCACAGAATTATCTGACTTGCAGGCTGTGTCTACAGAACTACTCTCATGTACAGAAGATATGCTGCCTTGGACTGTGGCCAGGTTGTGAAAGTGGTTATTTTCTGCAAAAGACAGCAATTTATCGGAAAGTTTGGATGATGCATATTCTTCATCAGGCTGTTCAGTTTTATGCCCTTCATCATTCTTGGGTGAGCCATCTACAATAACAAGGAAAGACTTCCATGGCGTATTCTTATCATGTACCTATAAATGAAACACAAAAGTCACTTAATGTGTCTTTGGACAAATATCTATAAACCTTCCAATTCATAGCCATTGTTTTTCTGTTTTTTAATCCTCATGCAAGGATATTTTTTTACTGATTTTAGAGAGGAAGGTGGGGAGGGGGAGAGAGATAGGTATTAGTGTGAGACAGAAACATCAACCCGTTGCCTCCAGTACACACCCCAACTGGGGACTGAACCCACAACCTAGGTATGTGCCTTGACCAGGAACCAAACCTGCAACCTTTTGGTGCACAGGACAGTACTTCAACCAACTGAGCCACCTGACTAGGGTGGCCACAGCTACTTACTTAATGCATCTTTAAAACAATAGTCTCTTTTCAATCTAAATTTCTACTTTAGCCAACTCTCTTTACTAATTGCCAAGTATTCTTCTACCTACCACTACTGCTGCTGTTAGAAAGTGTCTATAGACATCAAGACTTGGTCTTCACTTCATTCACACTGTGAATGTGCTCACAGCAGAGAAAACCTGAGGAAGAAAATATCTGTTGTTTGTCTTCTATAACCACCTTATGGAATAACAGGCATTTCTGACTGCCTAGGGTTACGCATACCCAGGAACTAGCAACTTGTTATTCTTAAGCCATACTGTTGCTTACTGAGGTGTGCCGCCGGAGAGTGGACTTGTCAGTAAAGGTCCGTCCACATGCATTACACATGAATGGTTTCTCTCCTGTGTGGATCCGATGGTGGCGCTGGAGAGCATTGAGCTGGGTGAACTGCTTACCACACTGGTCACAACAATAGGGACGTTCTCCTGAGGCAGGAAGAGAAGAAAACTGGTTGATCTTGTTAGCCTGGTGTATTTAATTCTGACTACAAAACTAAATAATGCTGTTTGTAAACCAATGGAAATTATTAGCATTCTACCATAAAGAGGATCAGTTGAGGGTCAACTGACAGGTACAAATCAGTCCTCTATACATGTTTCCCTGATCCAAAAGTAGTGTTCCCGTGAAACCTTTTATAAGCCGATAATGGCATAAAGTGAAGAGCATTCCCCACTTTGCAAAAGTTCATGTTACATTTTTTTCAGTTACTGAAAACAGGTACTAATACAGGTCTTTCATAAAAGCAAAGTAGCCCAACATGAACTTCTGAAGAGCAGGGATCCCTGTAATACCAAGAGTTTATGCCCTATATGAAAAAAGGGCCAAATTCATACCTGCAGCTCATATTACATCTATAGAAATTTCACCTAGTTCCATAGTGAGGGATATAAAATTCCCATATCCCATAAGTGAATTTGCATGCATGTGCATATACACTAATATGTATAGATTATCCCCAATTCTAATCTGAAAATGTTAACGTGTTCACATATCCATACCTTTTCAGTTTCTCAAGAGCCAGAAACTAGAAACTGAAAAATTTTAAAATAATATTATGACATGTAAAGTTTGGTGAAAGATTTTTCCTAAAGCTAAATTCCAATTTTTCTAGTTCAGTCAAAAACCTTTAGGATGTTTCTCTTGGTACACTGAACTCCCTTTTTTGGTGACATTCCAGCCATACCTGTGTGGACTTTAATATGCTGGTAAAGTGAATTCCGCTGGGCAAAAGTCCTGAAACAAACTTCACATTTAAAGGGTTTGGATCCAGTATGGATTCTATTGTGATGTTTTAAATACTCCTTAGAAGCAAAACTCTTGCCACATGTTTCACACATAAAAGGTCTTTCACCTACATGAAAAGATGAAACAAAAAGTTAGAAATGATACAGGCACTAGAATACACAGGTAAGAATGGATCCAAACTCTAAAACCCATATGTACTCCAACAGCGCAGGCAGCCTGTTACATTTTCTAGTTAAAACTATCATAAAACATCTGTTCATGTAAGATGCATGCTACTTGCTGAAAATTGGTATAAAATATCTTTGGAAATCCCAAGAAAGACTCCATTAGCCAGCTCACATTTTGGTAATTTAGTCATTTCAAACAAGTAATTGTATAACTTGTTTGGAGAAATTGTTAGATTTTTCTCAAAGAAGCACTTGTGTGGATCTTTTTCAGAATAAAAAATAAAAGTCTTTCTTGAAAGGGAGAGGAAATTTACATTGGCTATATATGCATAATTATTCTAGAGTAGCAACTCCCAAGCACTTTGGATTGGATTACAAGATAAGGAAAAAATGGTTAAATACCACTTCACATTGTGTTGGAATCCTTTAATTCTACAAATCAGACTTATTTATTAGGTATACTCCTGATTTTATAAACATCAAAAATACTGGGTTTAATAAATTCCAAATATATTAGTATTTTCATCAAATGATTGACTCTAACTTAATCTTTCAGTTGTGACCTGACTTCACCTTGGTCCCCAACCATCCATTACACACAAATTCTGCTCACTTTACAGTCTAGTAATTCACATCATTAAATGTCTCATCTCTGCCTCACCTGCATTTGAACTTGAGGAACATATGACAGTGTTTAGAAGTAAAAAAATTAAAAACACAACCAATTAAGGAACTGGATTAGCATGATAATTACACTATACAACAGATTATGTATACTTCTATGCCAAACAATAGGGTTTTCTGAACAGTGTGGTTACTGTGCTGAATTCAGAATAAAGCCAACTTAAATGTTGTCCCTCACATAATAAAATGTCACAAAAATTTTGGAAAATGGAAATAAGATAATTCCCACCTTGATACATCATATAATTATTTTCTAGTCTTTTGTGCAGGTATTCAATATAGTTGGGATTAGTTACATGCTTTACTGTGCACTTTTCAAGTCAATATTCAAGTACAAGTGTTATTCAGAATGTTCAGAGCCCTCACCCTAAAAGGCCATGGCATGAGCCAGGAGGGTAGATTTTCCTGTTTACTGAACCACTGTGGTTGAGTAAGCAGGTTGTTCCTAATGCTCTGTTATTAGAAATAGCAAGATGATGGAAAATAGAGCTTTTCTCATATTCTGAACAATTTCTTTAGGACAGATGCCTGCAAATGGAATTTGGGGCTAAAGCAGTAGGAACTGTTTCATACCTTTTTGATACATAAGATGCACATGCCAGTTCCTACTGCCTAGTGTGCAAAAGACCATCACCACAAGCATATTTTATTTATTCATTTTTGCTCACTTTCTAAATGGGAAAGACAGATCATGGCTTTAACCTGCATCTACTTTGGTAGATGCCAACTTCTAAATTAATAAATTGCAGTTTTCTTCTACCACTAGGAAAGACATTCAATCACAACAGCAGGGGTATTTACCTGTGTGACACCTTTTATGATATATCAGCATGTGGTTCTGAGTGAATCTTGCACCACATTCATCACAGACAAAAGGTTTTTCCCCTGTATGAATTCTGAAAGTACAACATTCAGATGATAACTTAGGATGTATTTCAAACCTCACTTTGCAATTCAATTTCCTCTCCAGCCTGCAAAGATAGTTTGTTCTGTGAGACCTAATGAGAATGACTGGAACGAAGCCCATAATCTTCATCTCCAAATCTGCATCTGCACAAGGACAACTACATGTTTTCCCGTAAAACACTAAATGTCCACCCACACCTGCCTTACGGTTTATTTTGTACAGCACATTTAGGCAGAGACCATGCCTTTGCATATTTTTAAAAACACTAATGAGCGTCATGTAATATTTGTAGTTTTCTTAGTCAGAATAATCAACCACACTCTAGAACTATAGTTATGAAGAACCACATGACCAAAAAATTAACTATCATTTACTAACATGTATGACATAACTAGTCTAGAAAGAACTGTTCCCAAAATGCTGAAGAAACCTGGCTTCTGAAAATGCATAAAATGCATAAGCATTTTAATTTCACAACTAGTATGAAGTAGATTATCAACCATGATTTACTGAGCACTTCCTAATAAGCCAAGTTTTTAAACTTGTTAATATAGAGTAAGAGTGAACACCATACTACCACCCCAAAGACTAGCCCAAGTTTGAGGGCAGATCTAGAACAGGCTGGAAAACTGGATTTGAAATACTAAGCACTGTAAGAAAACATTTAAAAACAGTGTCACCCACCTACAGTGCCAAAGTTAACAAACAGAAAACACTGTCCTAATTCTGGAGTTTAGACTAACCAATAGCACAGTTTCCAAGCCCAGAGAATGAACATGACCAGAGAAAAGTCCGAAAGCCCTAAAATGTCATCTCACTGAGCTCATTACTGGGACTGTGGGACCCAGATGGTCACAAGCCCGTGTTCTAAATCAAATCAGGAAAAGAAAAATAAAGGTTATTAGCCTCAGGTGTGGTGGAAAGAATACATACCAGAGGCTCCTAGGGGACTGGGAGAGCTCTGGCCTGCAGTTGCATGCCAGAAAAGACCTGTGGGGCCTGGCATGTTCAGCAGCTATCTGTTGCCCTGGTCCTGTGTCCAGGCTTCCATGCTGTGACCACAACAGAAGCTGGTAAATCCTCATTAGCCTGAGGCCTACAGAACACTATGAGATTTCTGTAGTGTAGAACAAGACCCATAAAGAATACCCAACTTTCAGAGGGAACAAGTTATGAAGTGAAATGTAGCCACACTAGTCTAAATCCTAGAGCTACCTCAATTTCTGACACACACTTCAACAAAATTAAGCACACAAGCCACATTCTGAAAAAAAATTATTTTGAGGGTCTCTGCTATTGCCCACACCAATCGGCTAGAGCCAGGTGCACATACCTCATGTGGGTCTTCAGTGCTGAGGGCTGTGAGAACTTGGCCTCACACTCAGTGCAGCTGTAGGGCTTGTGGCCCGTGTGTGTCCGCTCATGGAGCCGTAGGGCTGTCTTAGAACTCAGGCCCTTGCCACACTGCTGGCAGTGGTGCCGCTCACCACCTCCTTCATGGACCTGTACCACATGCCGCTTGACATCCTTCTTCCTCTTGAATTTCTTCCCACAGAACTCACATGGGAAGTGGCGCTCACTACTGTGTACGTGACGCTGGTGGCTCTTCAGGTTGCAGCGGTTGGCGAAGGTCTGGCTGCAGGTATCACACCGGTGAACCACCTCAGTGGCCACTCCATGGTAGTGCCTAATGTGCTTCAGGAAGCTCTTTTCATACAAAAAGGCCTTTTCACAGATAGTGCACTTAAAGTTGCTCCTCCTCTTCTCCTCCTCACCCTCCTCATTCTCCTCCTCCCTATGTCTTGCCTTCTGCAGCACCTCCCCCACCTCTACTTCAGCACTGAAATCTTCATTTTTTGTTACCGGCTCCATCTCTGTACCCACAGTGTCTGGGCTGGGTTCTTGTGGCCACCTGTAGTCCCCCACATCATCCTCAGCACTTTTCTGCTGTTCTCGGAGTCTTCTTGTATATTTCTTTTTAGGAATTTCCACAAATACCTTTCTGCCAGCCAGCCTTCCACTAGCTCTTCTGATTTTAGGGTAGGAAGGCTTAACTACATCTTTCTTCTTGTCTGGTTTCTCCTTGGACTTCCTTGGGGGCATATCTGGCAACATGCCATTGCTGATTCTCTGCACTAGGGGGTCTGAGGAGTCCATAAGGCCATTGGCAAGAGGACTGTCCGCAGCCACACTTGCCGCAGTATCAGGAGTAACACTACCTTGGGAGCTACTGCTCCCTTCCACCTCCTGAGACTCAGAGAAATTCTGCAACTCCAAAAGTACCGACTCTAACATCTGTTTCTTTAATTGAAAACAAGTTTCTGATAAGTCTAAACATTTAAGCTTTTCAGCTATTTCCAGCATTCGCTGTACCCGATCTTCTTCTACCTGTACCTTTGCGGTGTAAACAAACTCAAGAAATGAAGCAAAGTCAACAACTTGCACTTCATTTAAGTAAACATTAGTCCTACTGCCATCCACAGTCTTCTCATTGAGGAACATTTCCTTAAAAAATTTGCTAGTGGCTGCCAGCACTGCCTTATGGGCCATGAATTCTTTGCGGATGCCCTGGTACTCCACGCTGACAGTCACGTCACACAGGTGACCCAGAAGGCGTAGTTGGTGCATTTCATGCAGAAGATTAACCGGTGAGGATTTGGATTCCAGCAAAACTGCACCACTTTCCATGTTTCTTCTTTCTAAAAATAGCTTTGAAAACAAAAACAAGAATTATTTCATGCATGAGCAACCACTGAAGTAAAAGGATTAAAAGTTATGAAGATTATTTGTTTTTAGAGAATATAAACTTAACCTAAACCTAACTTTTCTCATGTGAAGACTAAAATCACACTTCAGTTAGCAGTTCTCTGAAGTGAAGTCCTGATGCACCTTCATAAGATAATTTGTGAGAAAAAAATAAGCATATTACTAAGATTTCACCCAAGGGTACACATAAATGATTAAAACTATGATTAATGAAATATATTAAGGTAGTAAATTTGCTAGGTCATTTTCAAATTTACTTATACACAGCCCCAAAATTATAAAAGAATTTATGGCAACAATAATTCTAGTTCTTTGATCAGGAAACCAAACAAAACACATGGCTGATCTGGGACCAAACCTTACAGAAGCATGTCTGTCTTTGAAAACAACTGAATTATAAAAAACATAACTATTTTCATGGTGAAAACTTCATAGAAATTTAGTCAACAACTCATACCACTTCCGACAGCCTAAAACACCTCAGAATTTGAATTATTGTTAACTCTACTGATGTAATGCAAGTTCCACAGCTTTAACTAGCTGCTTTACCTTGAGTAAGTGAACTTTCTGAACCTTACTTTGCTTGCTCCTTTGTAGAAGGCTGGCAGGCTGTTATGAGGCTTCAGTGAGTACAAATATTTCAAATGCTTGCAGCCACACCTAACACTTGTTAGCTAGTTGATACAGGCTTCCCTTGCACCACACGTATGTGCTGTTATCCCTATTTCACAGATGACAAGGGAACTATCAAGGTAAGTGTTGGGCTGGGACTTGTTCCTGGGCCTGATGGGACTCTGGACTCACACTGAAACTGCTCAGTGCACCCCTCACCTCAGCCTTGCCAAATGCAAACAGCCGTTTTTACTCCCTCTGTGGGCACTGTAGATTTTACATCCATCCCACCCTGAGGTCTCCTCTCTTTGCTTTCCTTGGTACCCCACACCATTTGGGTCATTTCTTTTGCTTTGCTTGTTCTGTTACTTCAGACTCCCTGATATGTGCTTTCTCCTGAAGGTCCACCCGCAGTCTTCTACTCTTCAATCTCCTTCCTCTTCCAAGTTTGCCTTTGTTCCTACATTTCCACCCATCCATCCAAAATGCCCACCTTACTTCTAACCTCCGTCAGCCAGATCTTGAATGTCATCTCAGACCCCATGTGTCTAGAGCAGAACTTTATCTTCCCTGAAAACCAGTCTCACCTCTCCCCACTTCTCCAGTCCCATCAATGACACTTGAGGCTACAGCTGGCTCCCTTCAACCACCAGCATCCGGCCCTCAACATAAAAAACGACTGCACTCTGAGATTTAACTGTAAAAATGACATCTACAAGACCTGAGCAGTATCACCTGAAGACGACTCCACAGTAAACAGAAAATACTGACCAAAACTAAGTTAAGTCAATATGAGAGGTTCATGGGATGGTGGGACGCTAACACAGGGATTGTCACTGATTCCAACAGGTGTTGGGAGAATTGGCAGGAGATTCATCTCTTAAGCCTGATGCTCATACTCACCAGCAGCCCTCCACTTCCTCAAACTTCTGCCAACCTGGCCCTGGAGCAGAGATGCGTGAGCTTACAGGGGGTCCTGACAGTGATTTAGAAGTGAAAGTTGTTTCTGCAAACGATTTCCCATTTTTCACGAATAAGGTAAAAGAAGCAGTGGTCACAAAAACAGAACATTTCGGCTTGGGTGACGGCGTCATCTCCCATTGTAATTGGTGCCCTGACAAACCTCTGTCCCGGGGCATCGCCCTACCGTCAGCGGATAGCCACGGTTCTCCCCTCCAAACTAGAAGACTGCAGTTTTCCAGCCTGGCCTGAGTCTGACCGGGCCAGGCGCCAGACAGGGCCCATCCCCGGCCCCCCACAGGGAGCTCGCTGCCACCGCACAACTACCCCTCAGCCCCTCCGATCCGCACATTTCCCAAGGACCAGGCCCCAGTTTCTGGCAGACCGGGTTCCTGCTGCACCGCGGGCGTCCAGTGCGCCCGCGCGGGTCAGTTCCTCCCTCTTGGCCGCGCTAGCCCTCTCCCCCCGCCAAGGCCCTGCACCCCTAAGGCCCGCTCCTCCTTCGGGAAGGGCCCGCGCGAATGGCCGAGAGGGAATGACTGGGCAGGCCCTTGAGCCGAATACTCACCTCCCAACAAATGCCGCCAACGCCCCCGCTGCTACCGACGCCTCCGAGCTTCCGCCGGACCAGGCCCGCGGGGTTCGCGGGCTTGCAGGGCGGGGCGCGGAACGGGCGCAGGCGCCTCGGATTGGCCCCCCGCAGTCCCTGCTAGGCCCCGCCCCCTCGCGGGGCTGCGGTAGGACTTACGCTTGCCAGTGTCAATGGCAGAGGCCTTTCGGCCGGATTTACTTGAGCCAACCAACACCGGGATTCCGCGTCCTGCGTGCGGTACAAGATTGCGTCACAGGCCGCGAGCCAAGGTGTGAGCCTGCGCAGAAGGCAGCGAAGGCGCCTATGCGGCTGAGCGTGGTGCGGCCGGGATAGTTAGCCTTGAAGGATACGTGAGTGGCGGGGCTCGTAGTCATGGTTGGGTTTACCCCAGCTGCTTACTCTGCAGCCTGCGTGCTGCGAGAGGCTAAGTTCCAAGTTCTCCTTTGATGGGTGGGTTAACAACTAGAGCCACTGGCTCCCAGCTACCAAGTAGGGGCAGGTGCCCTGTGAGCCTCCTGGGGCTGGTGGACAGCGGACAAAGCGCCTATACGCTTGGAAGGGCGCCTACTTTGCAGTGGGCATCCTCTTACTCTGGGTTACATGATTGCCTGATTAGATATCTCCTTTTTGCAGTTTCTCCCAAACTGGTCCTAAGTCTTGGGCTAAGGCTAATTATAATAAAAATAATAAGACTTGCTTAGTTCTTATAAGGGGTAGGTCGCCATGTTAACCATGTTACTGGTATTAGTCACTTATCACAAAATTCTAGGAAGGTGTACTATTTTTAAAAATGTTTTCAATATATTTTATTGATTATGCTATTACAGTTTGTCCTCTTTTTGCCCCCTTTATTGCCCTCTGACCTGCACTGCCCTACCACCAATATTACCCCCTGCCTTAGTTCATGCCCATGGGTCGTACATATAAATTCTTTGACTTCCCCATTTCCTGTACTATTCTTAATCTCCCCCTGTCTATTTTGTACCTACTATTTATGCTTCTTATCCCGTGTAATTTTTCCACCATTCTCCCCTCTCCACCTACCTGCTGATAACCCTCCATTGGGTTATCAGAACCACAGAAATGGAGAAATGTAATCTCCATTTCTGTGGTTCTGTTCATGTTCTAGTTGTTTGCTTTTTTTTTTTAGGTTCAGTTGTTGATAGTTGTGAGTTTGTTGTCATTTTAATGTTCATATTTTTTATCTTCTTTTTCTTAGATAAGTCCTTTTAACATTTCATATAATAAGGGCTCAGTGATGATGAACTCCTCTAACTGGACCTTATCTGAGAAGCACTTTATATCTGCCCTTCTATTCCAAATGATAGCTTTGCTGGATAGAGTCATCTTTGGATGTAGGTCCTTGCCTTTCATGACTTTGAATACTGCTTTCCAGCCCTTCTTGCCTGCAAGATTTCTTTTGAGAGATCAGCTGATAGTCTTATGAGAACTCCTTTGTAGATAACTGTCTCCTTTTCTCTTGCTGCTTTTAAGATTCTCTCCTTCTCTTTAATCTTGGGTAATGTAATGGTGATGTGCCTTGGCGTGTGCTACATTGGGTCCAACTTCTTTGGGACTCTGGGCTTCCTGGACTTCCTGGAAGCCTTATTTCCTTTGCCAGATTAGGGAAGTTCTTCACTATTTTTCCAAATAAGTTTTCTGTTTCTTGCTCTTCCTCTCTCCTTCTGGCACCCCTATGAGTCAGATGTTGGAATGTTTAAAGTTGTCCCAACAGTTCCTAAGCTTCTCCTCATTTTTTTTTTTTTTGAATTCTTGTTTCTTCATTCTGTTCTGGCTGAATGTTTATGTCTTCCTTCTGGTCCAAACCATTGATTTGAATCTTGGTTTCCTTCCTGTCACTGTTAGTTCCCTGTGTATTTTTCATTACTTCACTTTTCATAGCCTTCACTTTTTCCTCTACTTTGTGACCATATTCAACCATTTCTGTGAGCATCCTGATTACCAGTGTTTTGAACTCTGCATCTGATAGGTTGGCTATCTCTCATTCCTTAGTTGTATATTTTTTTCTGGAGCTTTGATGTGTTCTTTCATTTGGGTCATATTTCTTTGTCCTGGTGCACCTGTTATATCGTAACAGGCAGAGCCTTAGGTGTGCTCCAGGGCAGAGCAACCCACATTGCTGCATTGTGGTGTTGTATGTGCCAGAGGGTTCTGAGAGGGAACAAGGCCACTTGCTCTGCTCTTGGCTTTTAGTCACTTTTCTCCACTACCCATAAGCAAATCAGGCCCTTCTGATGCTGATTCCTGGGTGGATGGGTTTGTGTACATTCTAGGACCCTGTGGGTCTCTCCAATGAACTCTCCTGTGAGGCTGGGAGTTTCTCCTACCACCACAACCTTCACAGGTTTTTACAGCCAGAGGTTTTGAGGCTTTCTTTTCCCACGCTGGAACCATGGGTTGCATGGTCTGTCTTGCTGTCCATTTGTCCCTCTCAGTTTATCCACATGCAAATGTGGGACTTCCTGGCCCACCAGCTGCTGCCTTGCCATGTGTCCTCTCCACCCTGGCTGCCCCTCTCCACCCCTCCTACTAGTCTGAATGAATGTTTCTTCTTCAACTCCTTTATTGTCAGAGTTCCATACAATTCAATTTTCTGGCATTTCTGGTTATTTTTTGTTTTTAAATGTGTTGTCCTTCCTTGGGTTGTGTGAGGAGGCAAAGTGTATCTACCTACGCCTCCATCTTGGCCAGAAGTCCTGAGACTATTCTGAACAAAGAAGTCTCCAAAGATGTTTCATTGACATCTGGGACAGGAGGCAGAGGGAGTGTCTCTTGAAATTACATATTCTAAATATTTAAAAGATAACCAACCAACCTCATGATAAATAATTTAAACATTCTTCTAATTTGACCAAATTTAACTCAGGTGAAGACATGTGCTAAAACTCAAATAGGGTCTCGATTAATCCCTAAACTTCCCTGAATATGCTTAATTTGATGTAGTGCAATGTAATGTAATTTGTACAATTTTAGAGCCTTGGAATCCTCATATTAGGAAAATCACCCACTAGGTGGAGACAACATTCCTCTGCTAGTGCCTGCACTGCACCATGGCTCCAGGTTCCTGTGGCCTTGTCTCCCAGGGCAGCTGCTTTATCCTGGGGGATGGGTGGAGACTACCCACTACCTGTACACCGTGCCTGCAACGGTGGCGATCTGGACCACAGTGCAGTGCTGCTGGCTCCCAGCGCTTCTGCCTAGTGGACTGATGGAAGGTGGGGCTGCCAGGCCAACAGGAAACATCATGGGACTAGGGGCACCTCTGTAGGACAAGAGAGCTGGTCCAGAACACCACAACCACTTCAAGGTCAGGAGGGGGAAGCTTTTTCCTCCCATGCACGCTGGCTACTTAGCTGTACTTTGAATCTTGCAGAGAGTGGCTTATGACCCAAACTCCTCTCTTTAGGGTTGAACCCTTGGCCCCACTCCTCTGTACAGCTCTGGCAAGCCCGTGAGTGGTATTGCCCTGTCTGCAGGTCCAATGGTGGCAGCTCAGGACAAGTGATGGGGTGCAGCAGCTATGGGCAGGCACAGGTAGACTGGATGTTGGAGCTGTGCAGCTTTCTCTTGCACTCGCCCTTAGTGTGGTTTAGAATTTGTTGTAATTATTTTCAGTCTAGTTTATAGATTTGTTAACTTAAGTCATTCACTATGTAAAATAATGTAGTCTTCTTTACTCATAATATAGTGAACACTACCCCAAGTCATTAATCATTTTTCCAGCTTTATTGAAATATAAATGATAAGTAAATTGGTACATCTTCAAAGTGTATAATGTAATAACTTGATGTACACATACATTGTGAAGGTTCCATGGGACATTTTGAAACATTATTTTAGTGACTGCATAGTACATCAGTGCATGGGTTATCATAAATTAGTCAGTGGTCTTAAGGGTGAGTAGGTTGTTTCCAAATTTTCACTAATATGAGTGCACTTCAATGAATGCCCTTACATGAAAATTGTTTACTGCTTCAGGATGGCTAAAGGGTAGGAACAGTTATACAAATATTAGGTTGGCCAAAAAGTCTGTTACATTTTTTCTGTACCATGGCTCTAGTAGTGTTTGGCTGTCTTTAATCTGAAACAATTTTGTTAGATTGTACTGATACTGCTGTCATTATCAGCTTGCATTTAAAAAAAAACTTAAATAATTGGTGATTTTTGTGCATCCATTTTAATATTGAAGATGGAAAAAATATATGACATTTTTAGTGTATTATGCTTTATTATTTCAAAAAAGGTAAGAATGTAACTGAAATGCAAAAAAAGATTTGTACAGAGTATGGAGAAGGTGCTATGACTGATCAAATGTGTTCAAAAGTGGTTTGCGAAATTTCTTGGTACTATTGACATTTTGGCCAAATAATTCTTTGCTGTGGGGATGCCTTATACATTGGAAGATGTTTAGCAGTATCCCTGGTCTCTACCCACTAGAAGTCAATAGTGGGAGACAGCTAACATACTCAAAATATCCAAATCAATAAAGTTATTGGTGAAAATGAAAACCGTGTCTTTTATTTTATGGAAAAAACCTAATGGTTATTTTGGTCGATGTAGGAGACCATTCTGTGTGGCGTGGGCCCAGCTCCCACTTGGAGATGCACGGGACCCATGCCTACAGATAGGTTCTCCCATGGGGAATCAGGCCTGCAATGTGCCTAGGCCGCTTTGAGTCTTGCTCTTGCTAAAAAAACTCCCTCTCCCTGAATTAAGGACATTCATGGCAAAGTAACTTCCTAAAATCCATGCTAAACTTCCAAGGATGAGTGTAAATGGTTTAACCACTTTTGCCTTTTCATTTACAAATATCCCTCTCCTGCGATGTGATTAGTGGCATTGGCTCCTTTGTTTTCTGTAAAAGGTAACCACCTAAAGTGAACCTGTGCATAGTAAATGAGGACCATCACGTAATGTGCTAAGAAACCCAATAAAGGTCGGTCACGGTAAGGGCCAAGGGTTTTTCTCCCCTTGAGAGAAAAGCCATGCTGTCCCTTTTCTTCCACCAGACTCTGCAGTCTATGTGAATGTCTCATTTCATCCATAATGATGTGGACACTGCAGGCCGGTGTCTGCATCAGGTAACCCAATACATTTATATAT